AAAAAAAAAAAAAAAAAAAAAGCCAAAATAGCGCTGCATCTCTAACATGAAAAATTCCTAAAACACATCAGAAAAAAACATTTCTTCTTCCTCTATCTGAATCTGAGGAACGCCGGCGAGAACTCATCGCTTCCGGTAACTCTCTTTGATCTTTTTTCTGTGCATGACTGTCCTCAATTTTCCCAATTCAATTTCGAATGGCTATGATGGAACACTTGATTTTGCTTTTTTCTTGAGAAATAAGACTCTCGTAGGTTGTCCCCAATTTATCTTGTTAAGCCTGGCTGAAATTTGTAAAAAAGCTCCCGTTTCGATATTAGGCCTTTATATGATAATTTTGCCGCGTACTTGGTATGATGGGTTTCAAATTCAGTTGGTTAAAAATTCATCTATTTTTGCCCCCTTTCGGTTCAGATTGCAGGGCGGATCCCGTGTCATCTTTTTTCGTTTTTGTCCTAAACAATCAAGTTCTTGTCTTTCTTCTGCTTTCGAACAATTCGTGATGGCCCGTTTACCCCAAACATCGAATAAGCTAATAACATTTTCATTTTTTTTTTTAAATTTGTGCATTATATTTTTAGGAAGTGCGGAATTTGATTTTGCGGCACAATGTCGGTGTCAGACGAGCCACTGTACCCGATAGCAATATTGATAGACGAGTTAAAGAACGATGATATTCAACTACGACTGAATTCCATACGTAGATTATCCACCATAGCACGCGCACTGGGGGAGGAGAGGACTCGAAAGGAGTTAATACCCTTTTTGAGCGAAAACAATGATGATGATGATGAAGTGCTTCTTGCTATGGCCGAGGAGTTGGGAGTGTTCATTCCTTATGTTGGAGGAGTCGACTATGCGGATGTTTTGCTTCCTCCTCTCGAGACCCTTTGCACTGTGGAGGAGACGTGTGTGAGGGAAAAAGCCGTGGAGTCCTTGTGCAGGATCGGGTCACAGATGAAGGAAAATGATCTTACTGACTGGTTTATTCCTCTCGTGAAGGTCGGATAATAGTCTGCTGCTTCTTTAATATTTTCTTGTGCTTTTGAGGAAGGTGGTTTTTGTGGTTATGTTTTTAAGTTGATTGGTGGGGATTTCTTGAAAGCATTTATGGTATATATGTTAATCTCCTGAATCGATTCTTTATAACATTACACAGCAGAAAATTTCCACATTAAAGATTTTCTTGTTTTAGATATGTTTTGTATCTGTTTAGTTGTTGCAGTTTCTCAAGGCCTTTGAGTCCTAGGTAGAAAGTTCTGGTGCCTTATATTGTATAAGTTATGTTGCACGACATTTTTTTTACCATTTGTTTCATTTATCGAACATTGTTTTGTAAATGTTTTAAAAGTGTACCATCATGGTACATAGATGGAACAATTTAGTGGTCTAGTCAATCCTTTAAGCTAGCACCATATTGAATTGAAATATGAGAATGCATATGGGCTTTGGATTGTTGTCTTTATTTCACATTCAGCATGTGAAGAGTTTACTCTTTGTTGGTTTAATTTTAAACTTAGTTTCGATACTGAAGTCTTTGTTAATTCTAGTTCTCATGTTTTAGTTTTTTGTTGGTCTATTCTATATACAGAGACTTGCAGCTGGCGAGTGGTTTACTGCTAGAGTCTCAGCTTGTGGGTTATTTCATATTGCTTACTCAAGTGCTCCAGATACTTTGAAGACAGAATTAAGGTCAATATACAATCAGTTGTGTCAAGATGATATGCCCATGGTAAGAAGGGCTGCAGCAACAAACTTAGGGAAATTTGCTGCCACTGTTGAAGCTGCACATCTCAAAACTGAAATCATGTCTATGTTTGAGGAACTTACCCATGATGGTAATAAATGATTTTTACGTTTTTGCATTTAATGACATTTATTTATGAGTTATGTAGAATAAAAGATTGATGGTAGATTCCTTGATACTTGGTTGTTATTGACAGTGTTATCAAATGGCGGCCATGGCGGCGCCATGGCGGTATGGCGTGGCGGATTTTTAACAATCCGCTATGCAAAATTTGTGAATGATGGCGTTCATGGCGGCGCCATAGACCGCCACGGCGGCCGCAATGGCGGAATTTTGGCAAAACGCCATGTACCGCCATCCGCCATTAAGATGAATAGTGGGATTTAGTTGCATGCAGATGGTATTGTGTTTAAGTTTAATTTTCAGGTGAAGTCTTGAGGTAGTTAATTTGAGTAAAAGGACATTGAAGGAGAGGATTTAGAGAAGTTGAAGGGCAATTACTGATTTTTATAATGAAATTTAACAGGCCCTCTGTTCTTAGACAGCCACTGAAAATTTTAAGTTTATATATGGTTTATAAGCTCTCGTGGTTAAACATCAAATAGTGTGAATACATGAGGTTGGGGAAGTCCGTTACGAAATTGTGCGGCTGTGAAGAAAATGAATTTCTTAATTTGTTTTATCAGATCAGGATTCTGTTCGATTGCTTGCTGTTGAGGGTTGTGCCACTCTTGGAAAGTTATTGGAACCTCAAAATTGCGTTTCTCATATTCTCCCTGTGATTGTAAATTTCTCACAGGTATAGCCCAAATTACTACATAATTGTTATTCTTGATGAATGAATGTTGTCTTTATTTGAGTTTAAGCTTTGATTGGACCATTTCTAATCACATTTCCTCTTATGAAATGCTTTGTTTGTAACATTCCACTTCAAGCAAACATCGGACACTTCAAAATTTAATTGTTTGTGCATAGAAATTAAGTCTATTGCCATATTAGCATTGGATGTTACTGGATCTTCTATTCTGTCTCTCTCTCTCTCTCTCTCTCTCTCTCTCTCTCTCTCTCTCTCTCTCTCTCTCTCTCTCTCTCTCTCTCTCTCTCTCTCTTTGTGTGTAATTCTGTATGTATCAGGACAAATCTTGGCGTGTCCGGTACATGGTTGCCAATCAGTTGTACGAGCTTTGTGAGGCAGTGGGACCTGAACCTACCAGGTATTTATTTGCAATCTGACATGTACTTTAGAAATTTGATGGCGTGTAAGGCTTTAGACTATATATGCGATTATTTTAAATTTCAATGTCTTAACCAAGGGCTTTAGATAGCTACCTTATGGAGAACTACATTTTTCTTCTGTTTTATTTCTTTGAATAAATCTTGTATAATCTTAAAAGAAAAGGACAAAAAAATTGATGTGTGGATATGGAAATTTTAAGAATGACTATTTCGGTGTCATAATTTGATGTGTTTCTTCTTTCTGATTTAACCTTTTTTGAAGATGAAAACGTAATATTAATGTGAATATATGATGTTTCAACTTTCAAGGACGGAGTTAGTTCCTGCTTATGTTCGATTGCTTCGAGACAACGAAGCAGAAGTGCGGATAGCCGCTGCTGGAAAAGTTACAAAATTTTGCCGGATTCTTAATCCCGAACTTGCTATCCAGCATATTCTTCCCTGTGTGAAAGTAAGCACCATATTTTACAAAAGTTAGCTGGACTCAAACCTGGTAGCTATAATAAACATATCTTTCACAAGTCTTTCTTTTTTGTTATAATAATGGTGATCTATTCTGGCAGGAATTGTCATCTGATTCTTCTCAGCACGTGAGGTCTGCTTTGGCTTCTGTCATTATGGGAATGGCTCCTGTTTTGGGGAAGGTATATATTTTGCAACTTCTCATTCTTAAAAAAAGAGGAGTTCATGCGAACATGTTTTCCACTAGTACTTCCACACATTGTATTTATTAAATTATTTGTTTTTTCGAAATGTCAAACGTACAAATGGCATCAACATGTTAGCACATTTTGATGAGAATTATTTCACCTTGTGGCTTTTAATAATCACAATTCCATGAAATTGGCTGCTCTTGAGATTTTTTAACCTATTTTTTATTTTATTTCACCGTGCGGTTGATGCAGGATTCAACAATCGAACAACTTCTACCTATATTCCTTTCCCTTTTGAAAGATGAATTTCCCGATGTTCGTCTCAACATAATTAGCAAGCTAGATCAAGTTAATCAGGTCTGGGCTTGTTACCATTCATCTCTATTTTTATTTAGTTAATCAAGTTCTATATCATATAGCAAATACTTTTCTTTACATCTTCTTTATTTATTTATTTATTTATTATTTTTTTTTTTTTTTTTTNGTTTTGGCTCTAATTTATTTCACGTTCACTCAATTTGGTTTGTTCTCTGTTGATGCAGGTGATTGGTATTGATTTACTTTCCCAATCTTTATTACCGGCTATTGTTGAACTAGCAGAGGATAGGCACTGGAGGGTTCGGCTTGCCATCATAGAATATATACCATTATTGGCCAGTCAGCTTGGTGTTGGATTTTTCGATGATAAGCTAGGCGCCCTTTGCATGCAGTGGCTACAGGACAAGGTCTCTCTCTCTCTCTCTCGCTCTCTCTCTCTCTCTTCTCTCTCCCTCTCTCTCTCTCTGTCTCAGAAGAAAACCAGCATTTACATCTTCAAATGGTGTGAATATTTTGCAGGTGTACTCAATTCGAGATGCTGCAGCTAATAATTTGAAACGTCTGGCTGAAGAATTTGGCCCAGAGTGGGCAATGCAGCATATAGTTCCTCAGGTTTGTGTATTTAATGTAGAAAATATTGCCCTTCATAATGTGCATACATTTGCAAAT